GAAATCGGAAACAATTGATCTCACCACATGGTAAATGGACACCAAGAATAGACGGGGTCTAAGCGCTGAGCCTTCTGGTGCGGCACACATCACATCGATTGCATCGGACAATGATTCTCGGACTCTCACCACTAGCCGCCGGCCGTGTAGAAAATTGCTAATCCAACTCAGGATTAGGTCGTAATTGCCGTAGTTCCGAAGCTTCTGAAGGAGAATACGATGGTCCAAGCGATCAAACGCTTTTGGAAAGTCCAGGTAGATGACTTGGAATCCTGTTCCATCATCTAGGGTTTCAGTTCAGTTAATACCTTCAATTAATAGGTTAGTATTACACGAACGCTTGTGACGAAAGCCATGTTGCTCTGAGGCTATTAAGTTGTGGCTTTCCAGATACAGCATCAGCACATCTGCGATAATTGATTCCACAAATTTGGATAGTACGGGAATAAGTGTTATTGGACGGTAGTTGGTAGGGTCAGTGCGGCTACCTCCTTTATGGATAGGAGTGAAGACCCTTCGCTTACATACTGGTGGAAAATGGTTCTCTTCTAGGTATCGCCGATAGAAAACAGCCAGTGGTTCTGCTAGATCCCTAGATACCACCTACAGAGCCTTTGGTCGGATCTTCTCGACTCCAGGCGAACTGTGGATACCCAAGTTTAACAACTTCCTCAACACAGCTTCCGCAGTGAAGGTGATGCTGTCTAAACCCGACGTTGAAGTAATAGAAACCAAGAGAATATTTAGGCTTGTTACCTGCTGGAAGTTTGGGAGTAGTGAAGCCGTAGGAGATCGCTTGCTTCCATTGCTGATCGCGTGCATCCATCAGCCGAGCATCCATCCCCCGCTTCACCTTTCGAAGGCTAATAACATGCATGTAGAGAAGTTTGCGTTTCGTGAGGATCGCTTCATTAACTCCTGCTGATGCGTGACCCTGTCTTCGCGGATCAGTTTCACACAGAAGCTACGATGTGTCATGTATGCAGTCCAGGTTTCGGCATTCGAGCAGTCCTTGTTAGCTCGCCATGCCAAATCTCTCAGGGACGTTCAATTTCGTGTTCTACTCCTCAGTAAAGACATATATTTGTTTTACATGGAAAGGACTTCTGTTCCGATGCGTACGCTAACAATGTCCTAAACGTCCTTGTAAAGGTTTCCCAGACAAGATCTAGGAAGGGCATTCGGCTAAGAACGTCAAAAAGTATCCTTAACAAGCGTAGATAACATATTATAGTGCGTGACAGTGTGTACTTTATCATCCCCCCTTTCAGCTTAATCCGCAAGACATATATAGTCAAAGAGTAGAGCAACATGGTCATTACGAACCAGTGGGGTGCTTGCAACTATCGCACAGATCATGCGTTCTTCGTCAGTGAGCACAAAATCCAATATCGATGGATTGGTAGCACTTTGAAATTTGGAGGGAGAGGTTACATGGTTGTACAGAGAGTGGCTAGCAATTAGCTCTTGCAAGCAGACTTTAAACTGCATACCGTCGGTTGCTAGCGTTTCCATGCCGTGCACGTTAAAGTCTCCAGCGATTAGAATGTGGGTGTAGGGCCTGTTCAAAGCAAACGGAAAGATGTGATTCAGTTTGGAGTCCACTTCCAACGTTGACTTTTATGGGCCCTAAATCACGACTAGTAGACATGTGTCCTTGTTTCGCAACCATAGGCAGCACCAAAGCGAATCAAGAGTGCAGATTTCCCGGTCAGCGATAACCTCACATCTGAGGTTTGTAGTATAATAAAGAATCACATCACCACTCCTTCCGTTTTTGTCTTTACGAAGCAGCTACCTACCGGGTAAACAGATCTCAGAATCGGTTATCTCAAGATTTAACCAGGTCTCGTAATCATGACGATGTCCCGCAATTGTGAGGCATGGATTTCTCTAAGTACGGTCAACTTACTTAGAAGGCTTTGGGCGTCTGTGTACAAGCAAAATAGGGCTTTTGTTGTTAGGAGTGCGTTGATCGATGTCAATTTTGTGTTAGATTTTAAGCCGGCCGTTAGATGGGCAGCCATTAATCGTATTTTAATTTATGAATTTTAGTCAAGTTGTATGGCATTATTGAGCGTTCCTGAACAGAAGTTTCACTCGTGCTTTGCTCTGTCCTGTTTTGTGTCGTGGGTGCTTTTGTGTCAGTCTCTCCACAGGACTATGCAGATAAAGAATTTGCAGCATTTACAAGTTCCATCGAATTGCTTACGACTTTTGGCAGTTCGCCTGCTGTCTTTAGCCAGATCTCTGTTGATAACCTTGCTCGAAACTTTAACCAGTTACGTAACAGAACTTGCGTCCTTCTCTCGGAGAGTAATATTACTTTCATTAGTCTTGGACCGCAGCCCCTGTAATTAGGTGATGACGGAAACCTTGTCAAGGATTTGGCAATAACATTGTCAACAGATAGTGCTTCGCGGATGTAGCACCACTGCTCTCGGTCATGTGTTTGCGCATCGTGACCAGAAGAATGCAGAAGCTCGGAAACACCATGAACAAATATTGTTTCCTTGCAATCGCTATTAGGAATGCCACGCTGGTCAGTGCTTCTTTTGGGCGATCTTTCCAAGGTAGATCGAGTAATATGCGCACTCCATTCAGTGAGTTGCGACGAACTGCTGAGTAGAGGACATCCTCTGTCTCATCTGCTGAGTCTAGTGTTACTCGAAGAATTTGAGGTTCACCAGAGTGCACTGAGGTCGGGTGACTCGCCAGACGTTTAAGCATAGTGAACTCGAACCGAATACAAATCGTATCGCAGATGGAACTCGACTGTTTGAGATCGCCTAGCAACTTCCGTTTACTGTACCAGGTTTGGACTCTAGAACATTAGTGCACACAAGGTTTAACGCAGCGGGGTTTTGTCTAGCGATGGTCGGTTTTAAAATTGTTGCTGGTTTTTTGGACCGTTTAGAGGGCACCGGTGGATTTGGTGGTAAAAGTTAAGTCCCCCACTTTTGCTCGGTACAGAAGATATGCCTGCGTGTGTTGCTTCCGGTGTGTTTGTCGAGGCAATCCATGTGTACATTACCTGCTTGTTATCTGCACCGTATTGCCCCCTGCTCTGAGCTGTCGGGGTCATGACTGAATCTCTTGATGAAGCCTCTATGGTTAAAGAAATGGAAGCAGGCATGTTTGAAGCTTAACAACTTATGGGAGTGAGGTGAGTCAGTGGATTTAGAGACACACGCTGCAGTGTATTCGGCGCGTCTAGCTCGCTTCTTTGGGTAAGATGCAGAGCTTACTTTTGCTGGTTGAGTTATTATAGTAGCCATATTTAGCTCCGTGGGGTCGATCTGGTTATTTTCAAAATGCGAGATTATCTCATTCCTATCCCGCTTTTTCATGAGCAAAGATAAACAGTTGAGAAGTGGAATGACTTGACATATTAGGCAAAACCAAATTGTGTCAGCAAGTTTGTTTGGTTGTTTGTCTCACTTCTTGGACGGATATGCCTACACGTTGCGGACAGTATGAGCTAATGCAGCTAGAACAGATTTCTCCGATCTTAAGGACTTTACGGCAATTGTCTGTGCAACATATGCGACGCTGAACCATTGGAATGCTAGTCGTCCTCTTATCGTTTGCAGCAAGGCCTATCAGAGGGCTCACCTTGATGAGTGTCCTTTGTGCCAGGCGTGGCGTACCATATGATATTGAAAACATGTAGTTCAAAATCTTTTTATGCTTGAGCAATGTGAAACAAGTGCCATCACAGACTATGCATAACTAGATGATCCTCTTCGTAGCTACGGTAACATTGTGCGACAGCAAGTGGATGCAGATAGAGCATTTTGGAAACTGCCACACAGATCTGGTCTTTACGGCGGAGGAAGGAGTTGAAGAATCATCAACCATTTGCATTCATTTTAGTTTAAAATAGGGAATAGAGACATGCATTCTACTGCAGCATCGTTCCAGTCTTCTCTAGTAATCTGTATCATTCAAAGTACTCCAAAAGCTAGAAGCAAACGATGCTTATTGGCTCATTAGTCTGTCTTTGGTGCATTTTGGTAGCATCAATTAAGATGCGTACTACGAAGACAATGCGCTTAGAGCACCATAACGACCGTACATGCACCGATAATCTAGCACTAATAGCCAACCTGCTCGTTTCACTTGCTATATTTGTAGGTAATAAACAAAAGCAACTAATTAAGTGGCATATTCCTTAACGGTGCAAAGCACAGTCCAATTACGTGGGCTGATCAATGTGTATAGCAGGAACGCATAAAACGTCTAATGTTCACGCCTTACACAATGGATCCCAAACGGATTTCTAAAGTAATTGGCAGATTTAAGGTATTAACAAATTTGCAAAATTGGGAACCATAACGAACTCAACCAATTGTTCAAGTAAACTAATACGGCCATCCGTGGAATCGTCCACAGGAGATCTGCTTCCATACAGGGTATTCGTTCGAAAGGTTTTACTCACAGTCCCATGCTTTAACTGGCCATGTGCCCGTGTAGCAAAACAGTGATTAAAACCATCACTGTTACACAACTCATCATTGGTATTTTCCCAAAAGGGTAGAATATATGTTCCGAAACATGCTTTTCGCAACACAAATTTGTGGAGGAAGCACAGATTTAAATACAATTCTCTTAACCACGGAGGCTCATGATTAAACTCTCTACAAGTCTTTCTATATGAAAGAAAGGTTGAATAACCAAATATACTCTTTGTGAAAGCGCGCATAATGCTTTTAATGGTTCTCAAATGCCACTTTCGAGGGTTGCTAAAGGCAACACAGCAATATTCAAATAAAGGTAAACTACTGATTTGAAAGTAATTTGTCCGGTTTCTTTCAAGTTTCACAGGTGGCACATGAGCGCGACAGATTGCTTAGTCTTTGTCATGATATAATTTGTAAGCCCGTTAAAGTTTAACGAAAGAGAGTATCTCAAACCTTAATAGTCCATAGATAAAGATTGCGTTCCCTAACCAGCGTAGCTCCGGCCAGCCGAAGCATTTATTATGGTTGTCGACTCACCTGAGCTTCTCGGCCATTGCGTTGAATCCCCGCGATCAGCCAACCGTGAGAAATTTGTAGGTAGTATTTATGGCCAGTAGTCGGTAGATAACAAACCACTCTTATACACCAACTCCACTGTTATTGTTTGGTTCGACTGCCACAGCTTGCCCTAGCCATCGCAGTTTGTATCACCGCTGAATATACCACATATCAAATAAGCAAAGCGCTTATCCAATGAAGAAAAAGGGGGTGTAAATTTTCTCTGGCTCCAGCGCAGAGCTAGCAACATCATCACGAGTTTCGTACGTGCGTGACCTGAATTGACCGCTGTGTCCAGATATGCACTTCACAGGAAGTAGCTCACAAAAGTACAACTTTTGATAATAACCGTTCATTTTATTCCGGGTTAGTTATTCCGGTTTTTCATTCACTGCGCAACAGATGACCCTAACTTGTCCTTTGCATGTGGTGCAAAATGGCTAGGACGAAACTGAAAGCATATAGATATCAGAAATAGCTGCACCCGATGTTGAATTGGAACAGCAGATAGATGGAAACTGGTGTCCTAAATGATGCTCTATTTCATTAGAAATGGTGTCTCGAATTCGCAAGTGCCCAACTATGATCCAGGTTGGTTAGTACAAATGCTTTGTGCTCACGGACCAGTGAATGCCTATAATATTTGAGCAACACTCCTTATTCAGTTGAATTAAATATTATGAAACGTATTCACTATACAAATGATCGTTCCCACTTATGGGGCCATGTACCATCTGTCGGTAAATATACAAATTTATTTATTTATTTATTTATTTAAAATGAGAAAGGTATCCGAGCCAAATTGAGCCGATACGAATTTGCATATCCCAGGCCACTAACACACCCTCTCGTTTGTACCGCTAAGTGCAGTCGCTTTTTCATTTCCGCATTCTGAAGTTCTCACGTGTGGATTGTCCTAAGGGGAACAGTCCTTTCCAGAATGATTCATAATTCAGGCAAAATAAAAGAATACACGTGATTACGTAAATGGTGACAATAATGAAGCTTCCATACACCCACAAATGCCTGTGCTTGTGTTAATCCTCTGAGTTATCAGTAGGCATTGCTCAGTTCGAAGAGGACCATTCGAATACGTTACGTGACACAGTTACCTTGGGTATCAGAAGCAACAGTGTCGTGTGAATCCAGATGCGGAACTTGTGTTAGAACGATCAGTAGAATAGAAACACACTCACAAGAGTGCCTATGATTAGAACCTCTGAAACGAATTGGTTAGCTTGTGGGCAGACTATGGAACAATGGAAGAACGGTCTATGACGGGTAAAAATGCATACCCTTAACATGTCACGTAGGTTTGTAATAGAATGGAGTGCAAATTCGCCTGATACATAAGTGGACCAAATCAAATGCGTAGCGGTGAAGCGATAGAATAGCGGTATGAAAATGGGATTGTGAGCGTGAGATGGTACCATGCAATAACGAATGACAACTTGTTATGGTTAATGTCTATAGCAAATGGTAATCGGATTGATCACCATCTGAATAGATGTAATTTTCATACTACATTATGATTCCTAAATCCAGTTAGCTTGAATATATCCCAGTATATCCGTTCATGTTACAATCGTTTTGGAAAACAGCTTATTTGCTGGCATATGCAACTGAGTTCGGAAGGGCCTCCCAGGTTTTGCAAACCCGGAGGGTGAAGTGATTTCTTTCGCAATCCGGACGACTGTAATATTGACTCAAATTCAGGCTATTTCTTCGGAGATCGACATTTGGGCTGAGTTTCAAAGGATGACGACATAGGTGATTGTGGTCCCTCAGTATTTACACGGGTTAAGAAACACTGCTTTCCAAGCCCCATTGGGTTGTTTGATGGGGTGATCGAAAAAGGTTAATATAGAACTGTTAGTACTTTTACTGTCTAAAAGAAAGCTTATCGCTTGTAATACTGTGGTCCTGCATTCCGCATAGTTTCACAGCACAGGCAGGTGGTAGCTAATAAATCCAATGTATATCCGGGGAGTAGAGCGGAGAGACAGTGCTAATTAACAATATGTAAGCGGCTGAGTGCGTCATCCAGCCGAATTTTAAACATGGATACTGTCAGTGCATTAACGACTGATTTGAGGAGAGCATTTCAAAGGTAACATGTGCGCATGGAAAAGAAATTTATGCGGTCGCCATAAGGTTGTACTCTTCAGCCGGTTTCAGTGTGTGATCTATCAAGATTGTTTACTGCGCAGTTGCAGTTTGGAGCACCACACATGACTTGGATTATGCGAAATGAAACAGACACTATCAGGTCGCCTGGCAATTGGTGATACCGTTCTCTGAATAATCCCAGAAGTCTCATCCTTTGCTCTTGAGGTAGATTGCGCTTTCTAATGACTACTTGGATTCCTGAAGTTGAGACTGCTTCAGCAACATTGAGTATTCGGCATAGGGGCGAAAGTACGCACTGAGCATCTGTCGAAAAATACCGATTCCAATTTGTCTGAATGCTCCTCGCAACAGATTGACATGTTGGTTGCAAGATCTCTACATCTTAGTGAGTTGCCTGGAGCAACGCAATTCATCCTGAGCCAGCACTCCCAGATCAAATTCAACAGAAAATCGCCACAGTACATGGGCTCCAAACCGGTAGGCGTACGTGCCCTGGCGTCGTATGGAAAGTGTCCTTGCATCCACTCACGTTAAGTTGTAGTAAATGAACTTTGAAAAGTGGTTTATCACGGGATAAAAGCAAGTGCTTGACACGTCCCGTAAAATGGTTGGGGTGAATACAACGAAAGCAAAATATACGTGTCACTACGGAGAGTCTACCGCGATAAATGTGTTGATAACTCACGTCAGTTTAACATAAAAATCGACTGTAAGCATACAGAAATACCCAGGGTGCAGTGATCGGTGACGTAAGGCGTGAGAAACGTTAAGTATGTTCGCTCACTTATGCGCCGCATCCTTGGTCCATATGGCAGGTAAATCTTGTAGTATGGTATGATTCGCGAAATCCAAAATGAGGCAGTTAAGATAATGAATTGTTAGGAGCTACATTCATCCTTTGGAAATCTCCGCAATAGGGAAGGATACAACTGAGTCTGGTAGTGCGTACCAGGTTTGACAAAGCCGAAAGAAAAAGCAATTCCGTCGATGCCTTAAACTACTATATTGCTCTCTCAATTTCAAGCAATCACACCTGGGCTGCGCATTCTAGCTAAGTTTCAGCAAATTGTGACGTACGTGCTTGGGGTCACTCAATATTTGTTACGCTAATATGAGATCGCCGCGCAGCATTCGATAGCGTCCGTTAAAATCTCCCAGCCTTCGGTGGTAAGAGTGATAGCTCAGACCCTTTACATTCACTGTTGCTCTTCGTTGTGATGTTTCTAATGCCTCTAGGTCACACTTCAACCAAGGTTGCTAAGCTTAGATAGCGTATTCAACGTGCGGGCGAACGTAAGAATTGTGCATCACTGGGAAGCTTGATGGGTCAAAGCTCCGAATGTTCTTCGCAGCATGCCAATGTTTTGATTGCATTTTTCGCAGCTATCTCAGCTTGTTTCGAACAGCTGTGATAATTCTGTACAAGAAAACCAAGGGCAGGATCCTGGGTGCTGGTCTGCAATCCGTGCACCCCAAGCAAATATGCGTACTGGTGTCTATGGCGTAATTAAACAACGCGACATTTGTCCACTTTGAATGGTAATGGAAGCTGATCATCCTCTTTTTCCGGATATTCCGCATAGCATATATAGTCAAAAATAGAGGTACATGGACACCACGACCCAGTGGCATGCTTGCAACTATCGCACAGATCATGCGTTCTTCGTCAGTGAGCACAAAATCCAATATCGATGGCTTGTTAGCAGTTCGAAATCTGGTGGGAGAGGTTACGTGGTTGTACAGAGAGTGGCTTGCAAGTAGCTCTTGCAAGCAGACTTTAAAGTGCATACCGTCGGTTGCTGGCGTTTTCATGTCTTGCGCGTTAAAGTCTCCAGCGATTAGAATGTGGGTGTAGGGCTTGTTCAAAGCAAACGGAAAGATGTGATTCAGTTTGGAGTCCACTTCCAACGTTGAGCTTGGTAGGCGCTAAATCACGGCTAGTAGACATGTGTCCTTGTTTCGCAACCATAGGCAGCACCAAAGCGAATCAAGAGTGCAGATTTCCCGGTGAGCGATAACCTCACATCTGAGGTTTGTAGTATAATAAAGAATCACATCACCACTCCTTCCGTTTTTGTCTTTACGAAGCAGCTACCTACCGGGTAAACTGATCTCAGAATCGGTTACCTCAAGATTTAACCAGGTCTCTGTAATCATGAGGAGCTCCCCCACTTGTGAAGCATGAATTTCTCTAAGTTCGGCCAATTTACTTAAAAGGCCTTGGGTGTTTGTGTAGATGCAAGATAGGGCTTTTGTTGTTAGGAGTGCGTTGATGAATGTCAACTATGTGTTAGTTTTTAAGCCGGCCGTTAGGTGGTCGGTCATTAATCGTTTCGGTTTATGTATTTCCGTCCAGCTGCATGGCATTATTGAGCGTTCCTGAACAGAAGTTTCACTCGTGCTTTGCTCTGTCCTGTTTTGTGTCGTGGGTGCTGTTGTGTCGGTCTCTCTACAGGACTATGCAGATAAAGAATTTGCAGCATTTACAAGTTCCATCGAATTGCTTACGACTTTTGGCAGTTCGCCTGCTGTCTTTAGCCAGATCTCTGTTGATAACCTTGCTCGAAACTTTAACCAGTTACGTAACAGAACTTGCGTCCTTCTCTCGGAGAGTAATATTACTTTCATTAGTCTTGGACCGCAGCCCCTGTAATTAGGTGATGACGGAAACCTTGTCAAGGATTTGGCAATAACATTGTCAACAGATAGTGCTTCGCGGATGTAGCACCACTGCTCTCGGTCATGTGTTTGCGCATCGTGATCAGAAGAATGCAGAAACTCGGGGACACCATGAGCAAATATTATTTTCCTTGCTATCCCTATTAGGAATGCTGCGTTGGTCAACTGCTTCTTTTGGGCGATCTTTCCAAGGTAGAGCGCTAACATTCGCACTCCGCTCAGTGAGTTGCGACGACGAACTGCTGAGCGCAGGACAGCCTCTATTCCGTCAGCTGAGTGCAGTGTTATTAGAAGAATTCAAGGTTCACCAGAGTGCACTGAGGTCGAGTGACTCGCCAGACGTTTA